CCATGAAACTGGCCGTTCGTGGCAGCGCATTAGTTTAAAGTCAAGACAAACACATTATTAATTAATTTGTTATCAAGAGATAATAATTAGCACCAAATTCTCTCTAAAATACTTTCTATGAAATAATTTGGAACTTAACAAAATAGATATTTGTACCAAATTTCCCTTATATTTCAATCACATTACAGTTTTTAAAGCATCTGAAACATCCAGGTCTTCCTCACCTTGTAGCTGACCCCTCTGGGGAAAAGAGCCATGAACTCCGGGGACTCGTATCCCTGAACCTGCCTGTGCTGAACGGGGTCACCACCCAGGAAGTTATCCAGCTGGGTGGCCAGCATGGCACACGCCACCTGCTCATCCCGAGACGACTTCTCACCTACAACAGAGGAAAGGATTTAATATGTAATTCAAAAACTGTTCACATACACATTGTTTCACATTGTTTCAGATTTACTCTTTTATGGCGCTCTTCTGTAAATCTTGTGGTTTATGAGTTTGAAGGAGTTGATTATCATCTTAAGACACACTCCCTCTTTGATGAATGTACGTGAAAGGTCTCTTAAAACACCGATTGATCCCTGATGAAGACTTATAACCATGATCTTGTTCATTAATGAGCTATGTAACGAATAAAAGCCTTTTAATAACTTTGACCAAGCCTGAACATTGCATTTTTGTATCATGTCATACGGTTAAAAGCTCTACAAAAGCACTGGAAAAAGTAACCTTGATTTTGGATGTCAGATTATGTAGAAGATCAATAACTATTAAGCCAACAAGTACGGCTACTCCTAAAACTGACCTTGCCTGTCAACAAAACCATGTCCAAAAAGGAGATGCGCTTTTTTTGTCAAATACAAAATCCATTAACAAATTATCCAGTGGCAGGTAGAGAGACAGGAAAGAAAACAGAAACGCAGCGTAAGTGAGAGAAAGCGTTCGGAAATGAGGCCAGAAAGGTGTCCCAATATGAAGAACAAAAGAGCCGCTGACAGAGGTGATGGGTCACGGAGACCAAGAGACGAGAAGCAAACACTGTGTCGTCACAATTGTAAAACAAGTGGAGGAGGGGAGGGAGGCTTCTGAGAGCCCTCTCCAAGCTGTGACAATCAGCTTAGTGTTACCTAAGCACCGGATACATGCTGGAAACAACAGCCACATTTGAGTACTGTAACAGTCCTCCTGCTTTATTAATGAGCCCCGCTCAAAAAACATCCCAGTTTCCCTCGGGACTTCTTTCCCTCTCATCATCCCTCTCTCTATCCAGCCTCTGTCCTCACACAATGATGCAGCAGGTCAGCGCTTGTGTCTCATGTGTCATCACCATCAGCAGGAGGGTTATTAGCTTTTCGACCGCAGCACAGGGCCAGGATTAGGTGTGTAGTGAGCGCTGGACAACGGTTAGCGCACTTTTGCTGGATGGGGTAAAATGGAAAACAGGATCTCTTCTCTTTCAGTCAGGACTACACGTTCTTTGCATTGCATGTTGTAGAGTACAGTTGCATTATTTCATATGTCTTTGAACCCCTGTGTTGTCCTTGGATATTGTCATTTTTGCACCAATAATCATGTCAAATTTTAATCTTTTACTTTGGTGAGAAAAGTGATTCTGAATTGCCATTAAACAATCAATAAAGAGTAACATATCAGTCTCTAGTAGAAGCTGAAGGAGTGGTTGCTTGGAGCAATTCACATTTTTCATGTTGTGTGAATAAATATACTGATTTAAGAGATGTGGACGTGGATCACGGCATCATCTAGAGATTCTTATATATTCTTCTATATCATAAATATACATATTGGCCTATTGCAGACAGTTTGTGCTTTGTGATATCTAAATGTTGTATGTATGTTTTTCTCCAGTATATAATGCAAAAAGGCTTTTACAGTACTGATTTTATTTTTATTTATTCTTTATTTTCTCAGTGTTCAGAATTGGTTGGCAATGAATATAATAATATATAATATATAAATATTCTTTAATAAAGTCATTTGTTAAAGAAAGCAGCCTTCTCAGTACCTTCACATCGTCATATCGGTCTATTTTCATTCCACTATAATTGGCCACCATATTGGTAATCAGTGAATTCTTTCACTCTTAAAATCAGTATCGGCCTCAAAAAAACCCGTATTGGTCGGACTCTATTTGAATCTACAGCTCTGGTGGTGGACAATGATGTCCCCGCCTACAGAGCTCTGACTCACTGTGGGAGCTAAGACTTTTGAGTGAACAAAGAGCTTTAGTCTTGAGTTAGATGGCATAGCGACATGCTACATAACCCCATTGTATTGCCCCACATGCTGCAACACATTTTATATGACCACGTTTCAGACTCAGACTCACTGGTTTATTAACAATCATCAGCCCCCAATATTATCAGTGAGCATTTTTTCTTCAAGACAGATACAGATATAACCCAGCCTCTCACCTATCCACATGTGGAGGTCAGTTCCCAGTTCACCACGGTTCTGCAGCACCAGGTAGGAGTCCCCGTTAAAAAAGGCTCCCACCATGGAGGGATCCAGTGGCACTGCCTTCATCTTCTCCACTCTCCAAACTCGGAGACCCGGCTCCCGGACCTCTGGCCCAAACTGACCTGGTGCTGCCTGGAAGGGGAGCATTCTGCAAGAAGAAAAGAGGAGGAAAATAACGGTCAGACAAAAGGAAAGAAGATGGATAGTGGGGAGTGGACTCCAACAGTCACCACAAATATGGTCTCTGAGTCGTACTTGGAAGCCAAATTGCACAAATCTTCTCAGAAGGGGAAGAAGTTGCTGAAACAGGAAATGTACATATGTAGAGTTGTGTCACGGTTTCCAAGTGGGAATGGATACTTGGTTTTGGTTGGAGTAAGGAGAAGTAAAAGCAGAAGTCGAGCCCACAAAAGTACTGACACATGACACAAAATTTGTCACGATCAAAGGACGAGTGTCCATTTTTGGACCCTCTTTTTAAAGTTTCTATGAAACTTTACTTGTTTTCAGAGTGGAGAACAGTAGATTTTGAGATACATGTTGAGGAAAACGTGCTTTACTGCAAAGACTAGAATTAAACACAGACGCCTCTAAACCACAATCCTTTTAAGAAGACTAGAGTGGAGGATGTGGTTGATGTGATGAGAACCATTACACTTAGACCTGACACAAAATGAAGGGTTGTGTTGCTGCTTAATGACCAGGAGCCACATTACATCACGTTTATGCAACACCGCACGAACACGAACAACAACACTGGTGTCATTGTACAAAAACCAGGTGTGGTTATATGCGAGCTAGATCATGTCACAGGTGAGAATGAGCCAGCTATGGATTTGGTTGAGTCACTCTAATGTACAGTTTAGTCTGTCTCAAGCAGAAAAGAAACTGTGGTTTTGGATGAGTGCGTCAACTAACTATACCTCTGTCTCTTCCTGTCTGTTCTTGCTGCGGTATATTCGACATAGCGAGGTTTGAAGTGAGTCACTGCGACCTTCTTTTTACAATAATGTTATGTGGCAAAGCTGTGAAACATTGAATGTCCCCCACTTTATCAAAAGTATAATGCCACAATTTTCAGATCGGTTTAATAACCCCATTTCTTTTACATAAAAAAAAAATCTTGCCTCACTTACTAGCTTTTCCCTGAGCTTTCATGTTTCCACCATATATCATGGTCTTCCTCAGCAGATGGGGATAGCTCAGATTATAATCTGACCTAATTTATATAATGAACTGAAGCACGTTAAGTTGTTAGGTAACTTGATGAACTGAGCTAATCCGCTGAGGAAGACGATGGGTTGCAGTTGAAAGCTTCAGCAAAAACAGAGTAAGTTGATTATGACTATGTCGATTAAGTTTTGTTAGTTTTTTTACAGAATACTGGATCTAAGATCAAAAATGAACTTTCACACTCAAAAAACTTAATTTAAGATGAACTTTTCCAGAGCTTTTAACTTTCATATAAGGTGTTCCGTCCCCAGCAGATAGAGAAAGCAAAGTTCCTCATGTGACCTAAGTAACGTAACAAACTCGGGAGTTGGAGCTCAGCTGTTTGATGTCACGTGATTGGCCAAGCTATTCCTATCCAGTGAGGAAGACCATCAAATGCAGCTGAAGGCACCAGCAAATCTGAGTAAGAGGCTCCTCAGTTAAAGTTTTTTTGGTTTCACAGTCCAGAATGAACTTTTACCAAAACTTAAGTTTGACTAACTTATAAAATAAAAGGCTTTAGCATTAGATGATTATAGAACAATTGTAAACTGCGGTATGTAGATAACTGGTGCAGTAAAACCGTGTTTTATATTTTCAGTTTCGAGCCTCGACAGATAATCAAAACGCTTTTGCTGGACGATAACACATAAACATTTGAAACCCTTATCAAACACACTTTGGAGCTACATCAAAAGCTTCTGCAGAGGTTTCCAACACTGCATGCAGCTCAAATCAGCGTTACATTACCATATTAAAAATAAGTTGTTAAAATATTGATAAACATCAACATAATACGGGTGGAGCCTTTACTAGACTTTTAGGGTAAACAATCATTATATAAGACTGCAGATGCAATTTAGCTGCTTGATAGGCGCCAGGCAGCAACCATAACTGATAAAGGACCGGAAAACAAACAATTAGAGATAAGTCAGCTGAGGACACCAACACCCCCCCAGTTCTTCTATGTCATCTTTTTTTTTTCAAATCGCTCAGTAGGCAGCAGAAAAAGTGTCACCTATTAGCGCTAATTGTCAGCATTGTGGTCAGTCAAACAGGATGTCAGCCACAGCTCCGCCCCTTTCCATTTCATGTTTTTCAGTTAGGGGGATAGCTTTGATACTCAATCTCTCTGCTCTCCTCGCACCTAATATCAACTCTGCATCAATGTAGTAAACTGTGACCAATAAACAAGCCAGATACAGAGGGTGACAGCAGATGATGTTAGAGTAGAGCCGTAGAGGAGGTAAGGAGAGCGAGGAAAAAGAGAAAGGGCCTGAGGCAGCTCATGCAAGGGGCCCTTGGGTTAAAGTTACAATGCTTGGACAGCCGCTCCAAGAGTAAGTAAGGAGGCAGAGAAAAAGGCCCCCGATCCACTTAACTGTATGATCTCCTCTGGTACCTCCGGCATGCTGTCTGACTCCGACTCCATTCTGCGTGTCCACTGGAGTGTGTGTGGACCAGTGTGTGTGTGTGTGTGTCGTGAGGCCCTTGCTACAGGATTGTAGAGCGTCTGGGGACGGAGGCAGTGTCTTGCTCAACTGAGCCCTGGGTTCACTTTACACCTACTGTGGGACAGCGTAAACTTGGAGCCGGTGCTGATGAAAGTCCTACGCTGCGGCCCTGTGGGTAGGACAGTGTGTGGTGTTTGTGTGTGTGTGAAGGGGGGGCGGGGGGCGGGGGGGGGGCGGCGCGGGCGGGGCGGGGAGCAGAGTCGGGTTCCTGGTTCCTGGTTCCTGGCTAAAGCTAAACACCAGGGCGGATAATTACTGGGAGAGCAAACTGCTGGCTCCTCCATCTTTCCACTTCCCTTCTTCACTGACTCAAGCTCTCCCTCCTCCTTTACACCCCCCCCATGCCCAGGAAGTAACACCCCTCCGCCTTTTCTAGCAGCCTCACATCTCCGGACTTTCTTATTCATTAATGAAATTCATAAATTAAATTATATCCGCAGGCTTTCTCAGAAGAGCTGCAAGTGTGAAGAGCAAGAAGTAAAAGTTCTGCTTATTTTCTGCAAACTCCGATTGAATTAGCATGAAATTCTCCTGGTTGAATCATCACTATGAAAGCCTGCGTGCATTAAAAAAACCTAAGGTGATAAATTAACGCCCAAGTAAAAAAACATCCCGTCACAAGTTTTAAAATTCTGTTATATGTGTTAATACTGATTTTACCTCAGCCTCAACTTATAACTTATTTTTTCATATTAAAGCAGTTTTCCAAATATCATATGCATTCAGGTTCTAAATGGTAAATGGACTGTACTTTATATTAGGCGGCCTTTCTAACCTTCACACCACTCAATTTTGCACGTGGTGTAGCACTACACGCCACACTCACCCCATTTACACACAGTCGTACACTGATGCACACATGCATTTACACATCCTCAATTTGGGGGCTCTTTGTGGTCAGTCAATGGAAAGTTGTGAGTAAAGCTTCTGAAATGTGAGATCTGCTCTTTTTCCTCTTCCTCTTCTTTCCTTCATCTTCCTTTTTTTATCATTCTGGGCCGATGAGCTAGTTATTTAATGTACGAGGCGCATTGATCTTTAATAAGCAATTATTTAAAATTACAATTAATCTCAACCTCTCAATCAAATTATTTATATCAGTGAAACGGTGAAAGACAATACACAAGGAATACATTTAAAAGTGAATCTTGATAATGTTACCAAGGAGAAGACCTTTAAAAGATAGAAACTTGCCCTTTCGGCCTCGACTACTGGAGTGGTCAGTGGCGTCTGCTTAGACGTAGGAAACATGGAGATGGAAACAGAGCGAGACATAGACGGAGACAGAGTGGATGGAGGGGTTCAGATGGAGACACAAGGTCACAGATAGGCTACAGGGGTCACTGACTCAATCAGTTATTCATGCGTTGATAAGCAGACAGAAATATGAGAGCAGACAATATGCAGGCGGACACAGCAGCAGGCGTGGAGAGATCTGAGAGCAATCTGTCAATGGACGGTGAGTGTATACGCTGCGTGTGTGTGTGTTTGTATGGCTGGGTGCACTGTATGTTTATGAGATTAGGAGGCTGAAATCAAGACAGAGTGAAGCAGACGAGGTAGAAACTGAGAGAACAAAGAGGAAGGAGAAAGGAAATAGAGTATGTATGAATGTTAAATTACACTTTTACAGCTGCAGGAAAACGTGTTTTTATCGTATTTTGAATACCAAGCTTACTTTTGTCCACTAAGTCACACAATCTGGAGGCGTTGGCCTCTTTAAACACCCCACCCTGACTTTAAGGAAATTGTGAAACAGCAGCAAATAAGACAACGGTGATGTGCAGGAAGTGAGAAACAGACAGACAGACAGACTGAGAGACAGAAATAAAGGTGTGGTTTTTCTCCACTGATAGCACAAAAAATTCAGCTGAGTTTAACCGCAGAGTTTGAGATTTCAGAGAGACTTCATTAAGTCCCACTGAAAATAAACCAAAAGATTCATTGTCCCGATGATTCCTCAGCTGGTTTCAGGAGAAGGAATGTGATGAGCAAGCAGAGAAAGAATGGGGGGGAGGAAAAATAGGAAAAAAGATTGAGAATGGACAATAAGTAAAAGAAAAAAAAAAAAGTAAAAGTAAGAAAAGAAAGAAAAGTTCAGATTCTGCAGCAAAATGTGCAAAAAAGTTTAAGCTTAAAGTTCAAGTTAAAACTTACCTTAGAGATTAGAGAGTGAGTTGGTGGTGGAACACGTCTAAGCGAAGACTGGAGAGAAAAGCAGTCATGCGAATAGCAACACGTCCCTAAACACACAAATTCTCTCTCTCTTATACACACACACACACACACAAAACACACACACACACAGAGAAGATATTTCCTGCCTCTGTCTCCGGCAGTCGTAGCCAGCCCTCTGACTCAAACACAAAAGAAGAAAAAAAAATGTGCGGAAACCTGATTCAATCAGGATTAGACGAGGGAGCAATTCAGAATGCATACTAGGCCTGTTTAACAAAATCACTGTCCTGATTAAACAGCTCATTTTTTCACTTAAAGTTCATTGGACTTTCTTTCTTTATACAAAAGATAAGGTGATACAAAAACACACAACTACAGAAAAATTTCTTTTTATGAAACCTGCTTTCTACTTAAGTAAAATACATTGACTCAAAACTGTACTGTGCTTAAGTACGTGGTTTCAATTCAATAAAAAGAATCAAATGATCAAGAAAAAAGGTGTTGTATCAGTGTTTCTTCTTTCTTCTTTCCTTTCCCATTAATCGTCTCATCACGACCCCTCAGATTTATCTGGTGACCCTTTAAAGGGTCCTGAACCTCAGATTGGAAACCACCAGACTGACCAGCTACAACATTAAAATCCTATTTACACACTGATGCATCAGTATTAACAATAATGTCATACACAATCATATATCAATATTCTGATATCTTATACTTTTGTACTTTTACTTGAGCAGGATTTTGACTTTATTTTACTTGTAACAGATCATTTTTACACTGTTGTATTGTTACTTATACTTAAATTTACTACAAGGAGTTTTTAACTGGTAATGAAATGTAATACTGATGTTTCTATACATTATTTTTGTGTAGTTATTGTTAATGCCGGCCACTGGCTCAGGTTCGGTCAGGTTCCCATGAATCAAATGAAACCAGGTGGTAGAAACACTTCTGCTTTTGACCACAAGGTCAAAATAAAAGTTCCTTGTGGCATCTTTAAATAAATCATCTGAATACTTCTTCCACCACTGGCTTTCTACTACCACTAACTTGCATATTAATGCCCTGAATTCCTTTCTCATTGTACATAATGTCTAACAAAATAACTTTTTAAAATATTAACTCTCATTCTTACAGCTGCCCTCTCATTAGTAACTCCACGTCAAAGTTAAATATCACCACAGCAACCGATCCAAACACACTTCTCATACGTCATATGTGGGATTCTCTCGGTCAAACACACCCATATGTGTAGGAAGAGCCTCTGATCATGATGACTCCTGCACAGGTATTACTGGGTAAAGTCAGAGGGAAACCTGTGATTCAGCGTTTACACAGGTGAATCACAGGTGGGGGAACTTTAACCAATCTTATCTGGAGTAACTGAGTAATAAAACTGCAGGAAGGCTTCTGTTAGTTTCTAAAATCTACTGAGTTATGGATTTGAAGAAGGACCACTGAATCAATTTGATTACACTGGATAATCTAAGTCAAATGTTAAATTAGGTGGAATTAAAATGTACAAACTTGATTTATTTAACTTTGGTGAGTCAGTCATTACCAACAAATAAACATTGTTCAAACCCACAAAACTTTATTCTACATTTCAGCAGAGATGCCAAAGATAGCAAATATTTCAGGTAGGATTTTGTGAAAATGTGTAAGAAATTAAACACTCGACATCTACAATATTTGATGCCGTAGCTTTGGGTGATTTGTTTTAGTGTTTCACTCAAATATCTTATAGCTTCACCGTGGAGCTGGAACAAGCACAATATACTGTAGGATACCGTCATACTGTGTGACACAGGATGAGTTTCCAACATTAAAGTTATTTAAAAACAGGAATGTAAAAAGTGTTACTGATTACATTGATCAGTGAAACAGCCTCACCTGATTTGTTCTGAGTGGCCTCTTCTGTCTGTGGCACTCTCATGGGAGAGCCCTCTCTCAATCTGGTGGCCAGGAAGAGCAACACAAAGATGGTTTATTACCTGCTGGAGAGACGACATGAAACATCTCTGCATAAGTATTAAGACACACAAGTTTGTCTGCACAAATTAACTGATTTTAATAACAATTTTAAGGCCTTTTATATTTATATATAAACACATTGTAGGTCCAGTTGAGCCTAGTGCTTATGGTGTGCTTTGTAGCTTTACTAAACATAACTGTGTCTGTTCTTACTTGCACAACATCAATTTCAGGCCAACTATGCTACTTATGCTAGATATGGCCTTTTAGGGTTCATTATAACCCTTAGGACTGTTACAAACAAATATTATATTAGTGGTGTTTTAACTACAGTAAGATAATGCTTAATCACATCAATTTAGTCATGTACATCATTCTGTAAGCACACCTTAAAGGTATCTATTAAATAATGTGTACACTCAGATTACAGCCATATGGTCACAGGTTTATAAGAGATACACATTTAACAGGTGTTTATATTGAGCTAGCAATGGTTTGGCAGAGTTTGTTAGGTGAGTAAGGTCACTTGGTGAAGTACAAGTTAAAATTAAATCCCAAATTACAGCCTCACCCATCCATATTTTACCTGTAGATTCAATGTCCAGCTTTAGAGGACTTCCAGTTGGCAGCTGGCTCAAGTTAACTCTCAAAACAGGCAACAAACCAGCCTCACATGGTCAGACTTTAGCAATTTCTATGAAGTTCAGCAAGATGGGAGCGCCCCCAAGAGGAAGGAGGGTGTCAGCTCATATTTAGAGGAAGCAACAGAGCTTTGGATTCATCAAGTGACGTGTTGATGCTTTTCTTTTTTATTAGGAATGTCATTTATTTTAATTAATTGCAGCTGTGTTTGATTTTCCATCATAAGAGAAGTCTGTTCTCTGGTTGTAAACTATAAACTAGTATTCAAAACTTTTATTTGAGTAAAACTAGAATTACAACAATGCAAAATACTAAAAGTAAAACCCGGTATTGAAATCTAAAACTATATAAGTATTACCAGCAAAATATATAGAGATGTTGGGGGAATATATACTATAGACTATAGTATATATTAGCTATTTTTACCTATTTTACACTGATGCAGTTTTATTATAAACCTATTATAAATAATTTAAGACAATTGTTACTACATGCTGAGTACAAGCATGTTAAAAATGTACAAAAAAACCTTATGTATATCGTTCTTTGTTATCCCCATAACTAACACTACACAGAACTGACAAAAGAGACAGAGACAGACATGTAGTAAAACTTTTATTCATTTTTTTCCAAGTCAAAAAACAAACAGAACAAAGATACAGAGAATGAGATAATGAATCAATTTCTATACAGTGGCAATTTCAAGTCAAAACCCTTCCTTCGCCCAGACATGTGAACTCGTTCCTCAGTTTGAAACCCTGTCACGCCCTCGGACGCGCACGCATACACACATTCATACAACCCGGGAGTCCTGATGTTCTGAATTGACTGGACAGCACACAGTTAAGACAACAGGATTAGATGCAAGCATAGTGGACAAAATATCACAATGTCTGGGGCTTAGGTCCACCACAATATTTACTAAGTGCAATTTCCAAACCTGCTTTATCTCAAAGGCCAGAGGATGCAGTCCTTTCAATTCGAGACCATCTTGGAAGCAATGTTTTCACAAAATCGGACAAATCATTTAAACATAACCTTAAAGATTACTGGTTGTATTTTTATCTCTTCAGGACTCCCAGTCAGAACCAATA